CAGAGCCCCATCTCCGGGGTGTCCCATGGAGCCCTCAGAGCCCTCATAGAACCCAGAGTCCCCAGCCCCAGGGAGACCTGTGGACCCCACAGAGCCTCCACCTTGGGCTGCTCCATGGAGCCCACAGGGACACCAACCTCAGGTAGCACTGTGGATGTCACAGAGCCCCAGATCCAAGGGTGCCCAATGGAGCCCACAAAGCCCCTACTCCCTCGACCCCTGGTCCCATAGAGCCCTGGCTGGAAGCTCTGCAGAAGGCAGAGGGTGCAGTTGGCACCCCAGGTGTTTTGGGGGAACTCAGCCCAGCATAGCAGCTGAAGTTTGCGTGGCTGCTCCAGCAAGGTAGCACTGTGGATGTCACAGAGCCCCAGATCCAAGGGTGCCCAATGGAGCCCACAAAGCCCCTACTCCATGGACCCCTGGTCCCATAGAGCCCTGGCTGGAAGCTCTGCAGAAGGCAGAGGGTGCAGTTGGCACCCCAGGTGTTTTGGGGGAACTCAGCCCAGCATAGCAGCTGAAGTTTGCGTGGCTGCTCCAGCACCTCTCCCACCAACCCAGAGCCCCTGGGGGTCTGCCTCCACACCCCCCCCAAAACCCCACTGACTGTCCTCTCCACCTGCCCCCAGTCCAGGGACCGCAAAGTCCTCAGGGACTACAGCGGGGCGCTCAGCTACGGCTCCACCTCCAAGTACCTGAACATCACCGCCCTGCTGCTCAACATCATGTTCGTCATCCTCATGATCGCCCTGATCGCCACCGGCACCATCGTCATATCAAACATCATCCAGAAAGAGCACCAGTCCTTCGGCCCCACTTAGCCCCTCCCTTGCTCCGTGGGCAGAGCATCCCCTGCTACACTTGCTGGGAGCCCCACCGTGTGCCCTCCCCAGAGCCCGCTGGGGTCCCGCTTTCCACACCGCTCAAAGTCCCTGCAGAACCCTCTGATGGCTGCCCTGGAAGTACATCAAGACACCTCTCCTCTGGCAAGAGCTGAGCACCCAAAAACTGGGTGTAGCAGGGCAACGAGTGTGCTTTTCTGCTTGCTGCTTCGCTCTGATTTTGTAGCCCTATGTGCCTCCAAGTGTAATCCTAAGGAGAAGCACCTCATTTGGAGAAACCTGGTTCAAATAAACATTTCTTTCACTTTTTCCCCTGGCTCTGTTTCATTCTGGTAGGGGGGGAGGTTCAGGGTTCTCCACCCAAGCTTAGCCAGCTGAGGAACAACATCTGCCCTCGGGACGTGCCCTGAGAGGGTCATTGTCCCTCAGCATGGAGCACCACAGAGGTGGTGCTCAAGGCTGCACCAGGCTCCGTGAACCCGGGTACTCGTGGGTAAGAGGCATCCATATGGGATGCAAAGTGCTGGTAAGGCTCACCCCAGGGATGTGGGGAGCACCTCATCTTTGCTGGGATGTCACCAGGAGCAGCCACCCCCCACACCCTCATCGGCCCTCAGGAGGGGGTTAGGAGCAAGAGGAGCTGAGTGCAAGCTTGGGTTTTGTGCAAAGGGCTTGAGAAAGGTGACCCTGAACATGGCTCAGTGGGGCGGAGGGTTCTGGAGGGAAGGGGGGGTGCTGGGTGGTGCAGCTCCATCCCAAATCTCCTCACAGCAGGAGAACACCCCATGACTCAGCCCTGAGAGACGGGGCGGTGCTGGGACCGCTGGGCAAGGGTAGTGAAGTGAAACAGGGACACCTCCCCCTCCCCTCCAAAGTGTTCTCAGTGCTGTGCTGGTTTGGGCTGGGCAAGGGTGAATTTTGTTCATAGCAGCTGGAGTGGGGCAACATCTTTGCTTTGTGGTGGAAGCAGTGCTGGTAACTCTGGGACGTTTCCCTACTGCTGTTCCCCCCGCCCCGGGAGCAGGCTGGGGTGCACAGGGGCTGGGAGAGGACACGGCCCAGGCACCCAGCCCCGGCTGACCAACAGGACCTTGCGTCACAACATAAACCTGGGGGGAGAAGAAGAAAGTGGGGGACATTCAGAGCGACTTGTCTTCCCAAGTCACCCCTGCAGTCCCGGAGGTGGCTGAACAGCTGCCAACGGGAAGTGGTGAACGAATTCTTTGTTCTGCTTCATTTGTGTGCACAGCTTTCGCTTTACCTGTTAAACTGTCTCTATCTCAGTTCTCCTCTCCCATCCC